GGGTCCCACGTGTGCAGGGCACAGGGGGAAGGGGGGACAAGTCACACCTGGGGCAGCCTGTGAGGGTCCCAGTGAACTCCAGGGGGGACAAATGTCCTGGAAGAGCTGCTGTGGGACTGCAGAGCCCTTCCCTGTGCTCTGTCCGTGGGGACAGAGGGGATGCCGTGGGGACAGGGATGATGCCATGGGGGCACAGGTGATGCCATGGGGTTAGGTGTGGCACCAGGGGGACAGGGGTGATGCCATGGGGACACAGGTGATGCCAGGGGGACACAGGTGATGCCAGGGGGACAGAGGTGATGCCACAGGGACAGAGAGGATGCCATGGGGACAGGGTGATGCCATGGGCACACAGGTGATGCCAGGGGGACACAGGTGATGCCATGGGCACACAGGTGATGCCAGGGGGACACAGGTGATGCCACAGGGACAGAGAGGATGCCAGAGTGACAGAGGTGATACCATGGGGACAGAGGGGATGCCATGGGGACAGGGGTGATGCCAAGGGGACACAGGTGATGCCAGAGTGACAGAGGTGATACCAGGGGGACAGAGGTGATTCCAGCCTCCTTCCCCTTCCCCCTTGGTACCTTCCTAGACCTGCAGTGACAGTGGCCTCCAAGGACATGGAATTTGATTCCCACTCCTTGGCAGAGCCCTGGAGGTGCTGCCAAGGTGCTTCAGGTGGGACCTGACTGACCCCCGGGTGTGGCTCCTTTGGGTGCCCCGTTGCTGGAGCTGCCACATCTCCAGTCTGGAGTGTTCCTGCTCTTCCCAGAAGTGCCTCACTTCCAGCATTATTCCAGCTGCTGGTTTTTGGGAGCCGAGGGAGGAGACAGGGCTGTGTGTGCACGGGATGATGTTCTCCCTCGGAGCAGAAACAGCCTCGACACACCACGACCCAATAACCACAATAATTACAAATTACTCCGGGAGAGGGCATTTTGGGGGGCTGTTCTGTGCTCAGGAACACTCTCACAGACACACATTCCACTTGCCTTCCTCCGGAGCACGTGGAAATGGTGTCCCAGGGTGTGCATGTGTGTGTGTGTGGGGGGGGTCACACGCACGGCCTGTGCTCCCTGTGCTGTCAAGTGTAAACAGACCATTTCTGCACTAAAAATAACCCTCTCCTCTGAGGAAGGCAGCAGCTGATCTCTGCAGCCCAGATGCAGGAGCTCAGAAGGCTGAGGTCACCCACTTTTCATTAATGGCATTATTTAATTACGAACTCCCCCGAGTCCCTCTTGGAAACAAAAGGGCCTCGTTGCTTGGCCTCCATCAGGGGCTTGTTTCAGGGTGTCCTCATAAAAATGCAGACCTCCAAGCCAGTCTGTTAAGTGACTTTGACGTGAGAGTGTCCAACAGCACCGCACGCATCACCGGGGGCTCCACGGCGGCTTTTTGGGGAAAAAAAACAGACTTTTGCCTCTTGTTTAAAATCACTCAGCGGACTCAGAGAATCCCCAGCGTGGCCTGTGCTGAACCCTTCCCCTCTTGCCTCTCCAGGCACCTGGTAGGGGCTGTAATTAAAGTCCAACAGGGGTTCAGGGAGGGTAATTGTGCACTTTGTGGAGCAGGAGGAGGAATCCAAGCCGGCGAGGGGAGGGAGCTGGTGGGGTCTGCCAGGACTGGACTGGCACTGCTGCTCAGCCTGGAAGGGCTGTCTTGGCATCTCCCAGCTGGCTTTTGCATCAGACACATCCTTTTTCTGAGACTGGCATGTCCAAGCTGGTCAGCAGGACCTTGGCTTGGCTCTGGATCCCCCCTGGCTGCTGCAGGGGGTTTGATTTGTTCATGTGTGAGTCCTTTCCCCCCCTTTATTAATGTCCTGTCTAGGTGTCCTATGAATAATTAACACCTTAATTTGCCCAAAGCAGTGAGGTCTCTGGAGGTACCTGCAGTCAGGAGCATCTCCCACCCTCCCAAAGCCCTCTGGGATGGAGCTGCTGATGGGAATTGTTGGGAGAGTGAAGCAAACACAGGAGTGCAGCTCTGCCAGCCAGCCCTGGCTTTTGGAACATGGGATTTTCCTCCTTTTTGAAGCAGGAAAAGCATAGCTAGGAGGGGTTGGAGGGGGCACAGGGGGGATGTGCCAGTGCTGCTGCTCCGAGGCAGGACGGGAACCCTTTGGAAGTGCTCCCCGGGGTGGGGCAGATGGAATTTTAGTTCTGTCTCGTTGCTAACCAGGGATTTAGGGCATTTGTGGAAATAGCTGGTGATAAATGGGGTTTCATTAGCTCAGGAGAGGGGAAGACTGCAGAGGAAAGTGCCTCTCCCAGACCCATCCATCACCCGGCCCTGCGGTGCCTCCAGGAAGGGCTGGGAACAAACGCTGAGCCCGGGACAGAGCTCATCAAAAAGCCACTCTGCAGATTGTTCTGGCAAGGAAAAGGATGGCACCAGCCCCTGGGGGGGGAGAGCCACGGGGAGAGTGGCCTCTGCTCCTGGTTCCTGATGGGGAAGCAGCAAAGGAGCAGAGCCAGGGATGGGACTGGCTCGGGGAGCCACGGGCTGGCACGGCAGGAACAGCTCCTGGGGAACAGCTCCCAGCAAACCCCAGGGTCAGGGAACAGCTCCCAGCAAACCCCAGGGCCAGGGAACAGCTCCCAGCAAATCCCAGGGCCAGGGAACAGCTCCCAGCAAATCCCAGGGCCAGGGAACAGCTCCCAGCAAATCCCAGGGCC